TGAACAGTCGTCAACTCTGGCAAAAACGGCAGCACTTACTGAAAACTCACGATATCCTCAACAACTCAACTCAGTATCACATCATCAAAGAGTAAATAAACATTTACACTCTGCACTGTGCATGGTGATAATAAAGGTAAGCAGAGGAGTAATTAATTCAGATGAATGCCACCCAGAGCATTTGTGGTGACTAGGAGGTAAAAATATAAATTACTGCAAAATATCTTATTGACACAGGCCCATTTTTAAATTCCTGATTCATTGCTAAGTATTGATATTCAAGTATGTTAAAATATAGTATGTACAAAAATGCTTTTATCCAAAAGACAGTATTAGAAACTTTCAGTCACAGGCCTTTAAGGAGAAATGTGGAGTGCCTGGCTGGGATCTTGGTGGGTTTCAGGAGGTTAAAGTAAATTGGCTGAGTTTACAGCAAAATTAAGCCATTAACGGGAGTCACGTCAGCCCAGACTACGACAATCAAAGCTGATGACCCTGACCTGTAGTCATTGCTGTCTTTGTCTGTCTGTTCCCTTAGTTTTATGAGATACATGAGCTAGAATTGTTTTGGCCTCTTTTATACCCTGTCGTATTTTTTTGTTTCAAACTATTTATGTAGCTATAACCACATTGCTAATTAATGATGGCGATTTTTATAGATTTTCCAATTGTTGTTTTAAAACCTTTTGTGACACTGATCTGAGAAGTACCACAAGAATACGATTTTATTTTATGACCCCACTGATTGGCAGCCAATCAGGACTTAAAAACAATAAAAGCCCACTGCACTCACTGCCAGTAAAATTTTTATCAGCATAAAAGCTGTGTGTGTGTGTGTGTGTGTGTGTGTGTGTGTGTGTGTGTGTGTGTGTGTGTGTGTGTGTGTGAATGCTGAAACACACTGCAGACCTCTGACAGTTTTATAGTTATTCATAGACTATTTATCGCTTCGGTGTGGTGAAAGAATAAAGCTTCTGCACAAAGTTACACATAAATGTTTCAACTCAGGAGTTTCAACCACACTATAAAAACGAATTCTGCTGTTTTAACATACACACTTAGCAAAACTGGACAATGGTTTTGTAAGGCCAAAGTTGAAATGCAATTCTCAGTGTTGTAAAATCGCATCTGGTTTATGGCTTAATGTTGTAGCAGAAGTATTTTAATAATTTACGCACATATTAAAAGAGGTCATTATGGAAACACACAAGGCAGCACATTACAAATTACATTATGCTTAGCCAAAAAGAATAAGCAGGTAAAAAAGAAAACACTCACTCTACACAGTGCACACTCTAAGACACACACATGCACACAAACACACCACGCTCAAGTCCAGACAGGAATTAGGCAGGCTGATTGGTGAGTGACAACTGAAATTGAATTTCTCTGCTGTGAAGGCCCAAAGGACTCAGGGGAGAACATAAACACAATCACATGTGGGTATCGGTACACACAGGCATGAAAAGGCACACACACATCAGACATATACACACGTCAGCATGAACAATTGCTGAATAATTGCTGGCACACACACAAATACACGCACATATTCTTTCTCCCTCAGCTTCGCTTTCTCTCTTGTTCTCTTTCTCTTGAACAAATACAAATACAAACACACACACACATATAAACTTATATCCCCACCAGTCCCTGCTCTCCAATTTACTGCCAAAGCTGTCTCTTGAAAAGCAAATCTCTTTTTTTTTTCTCTTCCCAAAACATCACAATGGCAATCACATCTGGCAGCTCCAAACAAAACAACAAGTTTGAGAAAGGCCATCATTATACTGTGGCCAGTTAGATGTGATTTGAATTGTGATGATGAAAATGACAATCACTGGGCCACACATGATGCCAACTCCCACTAGCCAAATTTGGAAGAGAAATTTAGGAATTATGAAGGGAAATTTAGTTGTGCATTGGTGTTTCTGAGCTTGTAAGTTAAAGAGTTTTTATTCTTATGGCATATGCCTTATAAAATAATAGCAGACAACTGTGCTTGCAAAATCAGTCAACATAATACACCCCAGAGAATCTTCTGCTAACATCCACTGACAGATACCACAAGATACCTGCAGAGCCCCCACAAGATACCTGCAGACCTATGTAAGAATAAACCAGTGATTTCAAAGTTGTGGCTGAATGGTATATATTAGCTACCTCTGAACTTACTTTGCTGTGATTACAATGATACAGTACAGGCACATTATTTACATGATGAAAATAGTGTTGTTGTTTTTTTACTTCTTTAGCAAAGTTTCAATAATTTATCGCAAACATTTGATTTTAATGGAATTTTTAAAGCCATTGTATTTGAATTGCTCACTAATACAGTAACTGCACTACATGCAGCTTTTTTTTGGAATACAATGGAGGCTCCCTGGTAAGCACAGCATGAACACTTTTTAAAGTACACTTTGTGCCAGATTGCAGCTAAATTACTAAAAACTCATATTGCCAAATTTCTCTGCTGGCAGACTTAATTTGTCACACAGCTGTGCTCCAGTAAATATAAATACACATCTTCAAATAAGCAAAGAACTATGATGGAGAATTGCATCACTTATAAATTCAATCTTTTTCTATTTAGCTATTCGCACCATGATTTGAGGTCTAAATCATGCACTGCGCATTTTTAAGCAATATACTTGATGGTTGCATTTTTCTGTAAACAAGTTATAGTCATCAAGAAAAAGGGTGCTGCGTGACCATGTTGCTGCTTATTTTTTCAATTATTCATTGATTTCATAAACTAACAAACTACTCCTCTCAGATAAGTCGATCCATATCTCTGAACCAGCTGAAGACTCAGAGCTGGCTGTTAGAAGGGAAATTAGTAAATCATAAGAAATTCCAAAAAAATATTCAGATTTCTCCAGTGAGCAACAATCCTCTCCTGGAATTTTTAGAAGGCGAAATTCTACACTGTTCACTCTTTTATGCACTATAATGTTTTTTTTTTTTTGGAGGAAATTAGTAAGCGCCCGAGGTCTTCTGCTTCAAAACTGCAGTCAATACTAATACTTCACAGTCTAAACTATAACTTTGCTCTGCTCCAACTGTGATCTCATCTGTTGATCTCTATCTCTAAACCAACTGAAGAAACAGGCTTAAAGCTGGCAGGGAAATCATACAGCTATTACACTGGCACTTCATAGTCTAAATTGCTAACTGTAACTTTCCTCTGCTCCAGTTGCTACCACCCTTTTTTTTCTGAGTAAATTCCCACCATTGCTTGCTTTCTCTTTCTCCATAGGTCAATCACAAACTTACTAAACTTACTTTTCTGTGAAAGAAACGTGCAGCAGCCAGCAGTGGGTTAACAAGTAACAAGTTAATATGTCTTCTTTCTGACTTGAGATTCATGTTTACTGTGACAGTTTTAAAAAGATAAAATAATATAATACTGTGTATAAGGTGTGTTGCTCTATCTCCTGTTATTTATTTAAACAGATCCTAATGTGGTATACAGTCACTATGTTTTAGTCTGGATGCTAGATAAACCCATGTCTGATTTATTTATCTATCACAGATATAAGTAACTCCTTTCCAATATTACGTCTGTGTCTTCTTGACTTAGCGTTTTGCTTATTGCTTTTTGCTAAAATCTGACCTGAACTACTTTCAGGCTGGAATGTGTTAGTGTATACTTTGGTAACAAGTTTTGCACCAGTGACTCAATGTCAGACTATATGTCAGCTCATCCACCACCCACCTCCCTCCATGAGACACTGAAATAGCCATGCTTCCAGGCCCTGAAGAATCGTCCATTTAAAATAGAAAAATTTATTATTGTCTTTCTGCAGCAGCAAAAACAACATCATGTGTATCGTATGCATCATTCATAGACATAGCTGATAATTGGTGCCACATATAAACAATACATAACATAGATGGCTTTTAGTACAATTAACCACCTGAGTCCAGTTTACTGAATAGCTTACTTAGCACCCACCTATCACATAACACCAGTCACACCTCTAATAGGCAGTTTGAACGAACTACTTTTTTACAAGACTATAAATGTATTTATTTTGATATATAGAATTCTTTGAGGATTGTCTGTGAAAAGTATTTGTATCTGCCTCTGTTTTTTTCACACAAACGGCATGGCCTATGCCATATCTTCATCTCTTTTATGCTTCTTGCTTGCTGTGTCTTCCCTGAGGCACTTACCCATCCACCTCTCGGACCCCTTTTCTCCATCTTAATATTCTGAAGTTGCTTACTGAAACATAAGGCATTATGTGGAAAGACTTTACTAGAGGTTTACAGGGGTCAAATCCTGCCTCATTCACATTCTACTATCACAGTGTAGTTTCTTAGGCCCCGGGGCAATAATGGATATTGCATGTGTGTATGATGTAAGCCTTAGAAAGTGTTTACAAAGCGGGACATGAGCCTTGGTGTGTATATATTAACAGGATTAATAAAACACAAAAAATAAGGACATAGTTAAAATTACAGTGATGATGGAACAGAGGAGCAAAGTCTAATACCACCTATACTGAATACACAATGAAGAAAAACAGGTTTGGGGATGAGCCTTCAATGTTGATTCTACTGGATCACTTTATTGTGTCCTCCCACAGTGAACATGAATCTAGAGTTTATAGTTTCAATGCCAGCCACTATGCAGATGTTTGCTTAGGTCCAAGAGATGTGGACAAAGATATGAACAATGTGTTCATGTGTACGACAATGAAGTGGAATCAGTAACCGTAATAATATATGTTTGACTAAACAAACTTCATATAGAGTGAAGACAACTGATTAAGATTTAATTTGAAGAAAGAACCCCCCCCCCCAACACACACACACACACACACACACACACACACACACATATAAATTATCATCACTCCCATGTTCCATTACATTACAGAAGCCCTTTTAAATGCACTCTCTCAGATTTTTCACATAAAGCCCCACATAAACACAAGCCCATATAACATCCTGGCACTTTAATGATATAAACACACACACACGCTTCTTACCGGAGTGAAGTTCATGACTTTGAGAATCCAGATGGTCAGTGCCAGGTTGACAATCATGGTGACGAGGAGGAGGAGGATGAAAAAGTACAAGCATCTCTTTCTCCAGCCATAGATTCCCACTGCTGGATAAACCTGCGCACCACAAACTGAAGCCCCTCTCTGGTGGAGGGGGTTGGGCTGTGCTGCAAGGATATACTGCTCCTGGGTCATCTGAGGGAGACACAAATATAATGTTACATGTAAGATGTAACATTTTTTTTTGAGAAATTTCTCTCATTCTTCAATTTTATTTGAAGAATATCTAGATACTGACATTTTTTTAAGAAATGGAAATGCAGAGGGTTTATTATCCCTGTTTGTCAGCTGTAGATGCCCTAGTAAAATACCGAACATATGTTGTCTATTATTGTGAATGTTTGTATTCATTTAGTTATACAAGGATGATAAACAAATGTGGAGAAATGTTATGACTGTGAAGAAACAAATTCAAAAACAAGCAATTAATGGAATTTTTATTTCTCCCTTTCAGTCAGTGTTGTGGCCATTTTAAGGCATAGGTAAGCCTGTACCAGATGCCTCCAGTTGGAGGAACACTGTTAATGTACAATCGGTATTAGCTATTACACCATATAACTGTGATTTGTCTTTTATTTGCAGGTGCGTACTAAAATACAGTCAGATCTAGCCAACGCATAAGATAAATGGTCTCTACATTTTGCATCCAAAATAAGAGTTTTTGGAGGTGATCCACAGGCGCTAGATCCGGACCAATCTCATACTGATTATAACTGCAGCTCATTAAAAAGAAAACTAGAAATAAGTTACCCTGAGATGTGGATACATTAAAAAAAAACAACAAAAAACTCCAGCATTAGACCATATCATAATAAAACTCAATGATAACTTGGAAATGACTAAAAGAAAGTTTTAGTCGTTATTAGGAAGTGTTACATTAAAAAGTTGTGTAGGGCATCAAATTGTTCAGAAATGTCTCTGTATGCAGCATAAGCAACAACAGGAAGAGGAGAGGCTAAACTTTCAGCGTTTTGGAGGAAGGAAGAACGGAAAATACAAAAAACATAAGATAGCAAAAAAGAGGAAGAATGGAAGCATTTTAGAGTTTTGAGAGTGAGATAACAGGAGAGAGAAAGAGTAAGACCAAAGCATGATAAAAATGAGATAGAGGTGGAGCTGTAAAGTGGAAAGATAGCACAGCATTGAGTACTGAGAGATAGGAAGGGAGGCTGGAGAAAGAGAGAGAGGGCAGATAAGATGGTAGAGGAGGACAGAGTCCATTAGTTGTAGTGCAGCAATTGGAGTCATTGGTGGCAAGAGATATGGACACTGGCTGCAAGGCACTATTATCTCTGTCCATCTGACTCCCTAACTCTCTTTCACTCTTTTACCCCACTCGCTATACCTCAGATTCCCTCTTGGTTCCTTCATGCTTTCTCCCTAATTCACCTCCTATCTCACTTTTGCACATCTCTCTCTTCCTCTTTATCAGTCTCTCTCTTTACGTACACACGACACAAACACACACATACACACACAAACTCACATTAAGTCTTTATTTGCTGAGACTGCATGACCTTAACACCTCAGTGACTGTTGATTTTTCTTCCCCCCTGCAATGCCTTTTCTCTATATAGTCTCACATGATGATACCCAACAAGCCTTGATGATAAACAAAAAATGCTGACTTTTGCCTTAGCCTGCAGAAAAAAAAGAAAAAAAGAAATGCAGGCTTTGCTTGTCTAAGTTTTATTGTTTCATTTTGGGGAGAGGAGCGTCTAAAACAACTATCAGCTTGTGATTGGTGTCTCCACAGGGGTCCTGTTTCTTATACGTAAGAGGCAAACCCCAAGGTCTGCTTGAGTTATTCATGCCATGACAGTGTATAAACACCATGGAAGTCTAAAAAAAACATTAACAAGCTTTTAAAGCTAACAGCTTAACCTTGAGGAGGATTGATAGTGGGGCCTCAGCTCCTCTGTCTCCTTAAGGCTAGGGCTGTCTGACCCATGAGTTTTAGCACTGAAAATAATGTAATAATGTAAAAAATGACTCTTTAATATTTATGAGTCAGAATAACAACATGTTGTGGCTGAAGATTTACTTTGATGTCTTGGGAAACCGCACTGTTTTCTTCCTCTTTCCATTAAGGATTAAACTCCAGTTTAACATTTAGTATTTACTAGTATTTAGTATTTACTGTCATATTCCCATATATCATTGTGATGTTGTTTATTCTATTACTCTTGTTCTCTTCTGCTTGCTTTCTTTTTTCTTTCTCAGCAGGTGATCCAGGTGATTGATATATGCATTTTTTTTCTCTGCCCGTTCTGTTGGTTTTTGTCTTTTGCCCTTCTCCCCCGTCCCTCTTCTCAGCTGTTTCTCTTTCCCTCTTTC